CCAGTGACTTCACTCCTAGGTATATACTGCAAACTGTGGAAAACAGGCGTTCAAACAGAAGAACAAAGGTCTGGCAGGTGGCACGGTGGTTGGGGCACTGGACTCCCATGTGACCAACCGTAGTTTGAGTCCTGGGCCTGGTGTTTTGTTTTCTTGCTTTCTCTTTCTGTCTTTTCTCTCTCTCTCTCTCTCTCTCTCTCTCTCTGTCTCTCTCTCTCTTTCTGTCCCTCTCTGGTCAAATTAAAATGAATAAATAAATGGATAAATTAAGTTAAATAAAAATAATTCTAAAAAAATATGAAATTCATGTTCACAGGATCACTACTCACAAAAACTAAAGCATCTAAATAGCCCAATGTCTATCAACTGATTTGTGTGTTTTTAAATGTGGTATGTATAGCTATCTGATGGAATATTATGTGTTCATAAAAATTAATGAAGTACCAATATATGCTACAATAAGAGTAAACTTTTTTATTTTTAGATCTTCCTATAGGATGTGTGCACTATACGGAGACAGAGAGAGACAGAAAGTGAGAAATCACCCTCCCTGGGAGAACGGCCATACTGCAATCCCTTCTTCTCCAGTCTTCTCTCAGGAATTTGGACAGGCATGCGCACATGTGCCTCGCATGATTTTCGTGCTGCATGTAGGAATCCAGTGCCTTACCTCCATGCCACCTGTGGGCGCAATATGAAAAACATTTAAAGAGTTGTCTAGGTGAAAGAAATTAGGCACGAAGCCACGTTTTACGTGATTCCTTTCATATGAGATGCCCGGAGTGGGTAAAGCTGTAGAGAAGGGAAGTAATTAAGGGTTGCTTAGGGTTGGGCGTGAGGGTGGGAAGTGGACAGAAGGAGGTGACAGCCAAAGGTGTGAGCGGTTTCTTCTCAAGATCAGGAAACCTTCTACAATCGACTGAGGAGCACTTAAAAGGGATGACTTCATGGTGAGTTAGATCTCGATTAAGCTGTTTAAAGAGATAGTAAGGCCAAGGACGACTCAGCAAGGGCACCTTGTACCCCAGAACAAGCCAGTCGGTCCACGTTGTACCTTCCTGTTTTTATATTCTTCCTAATACTAGTCATCGCCTTGGAAATTCCTTAGATATTGTCATAAGCAGAGAAAAGCTACTTTAATGCACAATTACTCCTTGTTCAGATGAAACTGTCACAACTGGTGAAGATAATGACCCCCAATGCCACTCTCTAGTCACCACTAGTGAACTTTGTCGCTACAAGACTCTCTGCTCACGTCACGTTCTGCATTGTCTGTTACGATGTCCAGGAAAAACCCGCCAGTGGGCATCCTCTAGGATGCCTCTAGGGAGAAAATCCCCCATGTCAGAAAACTGCTCTCGTTTGGAGAGGACTGGGAAAGCGAGCAGCACAGGAACATTTGCCAAGGCATGCGTGGGGATGTCCACGGCCCGAGGAGCCTCCTGCCTATGGGCACACAGGCTCCGACTTGGTGACTGGCATCGTGGCTCCCCACCTCCCCAGTGGCAGCCCCCATCCAGAGCAACCAGCCAGTCACCTAACATGGTTGAGCGCGGCTTCCTGCGGCGTTCAGTTCAAAGGGTCTGTTAGTCTTCTGGGAGAGAGGCACAATTCCGACTAAAACTGAGTAGGATGAACTTCAAAATCAAGAAGAAGCAGACAGAAATTCCTAATGTAAGCTATATGAAAAAGGTGTTTTAGAGAATGTAAAAAGATCCTTTCAAAGTATAGCTCTCCATTAAATAAAAACTCTAGATATTTTTAAAATGTAATTCAAACCTCCTGTTATTGACAGAAATGAAAAACACATTAAGGTGGCTTCCCATAATATTTAAAAGAGTTTGCGTGTCTAATAGACTGACACCTTACACCCTATGGTAGGACCTGGGTTTAAGGGTTAAACACAATCATTTTCAAAACAAAACAAAAGGCCACTCACCATTATATGTTCAAGTAGAGAATCTATTGCAACTATGTTATCAAAATATGTTCTGAAAAAAAAAGAACATAAAATTTGTAAGTAATCTTATCTCGATCACAGTACACATAAAGCTTTGAATAAACTTCCTGGTTTTGTTGACATTTAAATAAAAAACATAGGGGACCAGCAGTTAGTGTAATGGCTATGTCGCTGGACTCCCACGTAGTCGACCGCGGTTTGAGTCCCGGACCTGGTGGCTTAAACTCACGCTGGGCATGTGTGCATGCCCAAGATCCTAAGAGGAGAAGGGAGGAGAAGGGATTGTGGCGTGGCCATCCCCACTGGGGGTGATTTCTCACTTTCTGTCTCTCTTTGTCTTTCTGGCTAGCATATGTGCCCTATAGCAAAAACCTTTTCAAAACAATAAAATAAATAAATAAATAATAAAAACATAAATATATATGTTTTGTTTTTGTCCTTTTGTGGAAACAATCAGTTACATTAAAGATAAATGAGGGACCAGCAGTTAGCGTAATGGCTATGTCACTGGACTCCAATGTAGCTAACAGTTGAGACTCAGACCTGGCAGCCTGAAAAACATACCAGATGCATGTGCATACATGCCCCAAATCCCAGAGGGGGTATGGAGGAAAAGGGATTGTGGTGGGACCATCCCCCCTGGGGGGGTGATTTCTCGCTTTTTGTCTCTCCATCTCTCTCTGTCTGTCTGTCTGGCTAGTGCACACACCCTATAGCAAAAACCTCTCCAAAAAAAAAAAAGATAAATGAAATTTTATCGTTGACTCTACGCTAAGGACTCTCAAGTATGCCTTCAGTAATTGCTCTTGGTAAGTATCAGTGTGGAGAAAAAAGCTCTAGCATTTTACCAAGATGATGCCAGAATAAAACTGGGTCCATTATATTTAATAAATCAATTAGTAACTTTAGTCTGAAATGAAGATATTTAAATTGGCTAGATCTTATCAATACAGTTTAAATGTAAATTATCGCTGAAAAATTAGAGAGTTAAACTTTGTTCAACTGTATTATAAAAGCAACGTCATTCATTGGAGAGGAAATGTCAGAATAAGTAATGATAAGTCTCACAATCTAACATAAGTAAAATATATACCATCATTATGGGCTCCGTGACACCGATGTAACCCGATGGCAAGATTACGCCGTAGGCGCACACTACAGAAATCCGTGAAGAAGCACTCTTACACTGGCTCCCCTGGCAAGGTCACTCTTTCATCCTAGGTTCACGTTCATTCAATATTCCAGTGTGCTCACAACTAAGAACGCTTACGGTAACAGCAATGCCTTTTAAGACCAATGATGTGGCTTAAAGCACTGACACCAGAACACACGTCACGCGACTGCTCTGAAGGATCCACGCGTAGGGAAGATGGTGAAGGAAATGAATTTCCCACTGGCGGGAAATCAGGAAAGAATAGATTTTAAATCTCACTCAAGTTATTCCATCAACTCTGGAGACTTGTGAAATAACGAAGTGTGTTGGCAATGGAGAGTGCCCAACTTTCCTTTCTATGCATTTTTTTGGGGGGGAGGTTTTTGCTATAGGGCACGTGCGCTCGCCAGACAGAGAGAGACAGAGAGACAGAAAGCGAGAAATCACCCCCCAGGGGGATGGCCACGCTGCAATCCCTTCTCCTCCATTCTCCTCTCGGGATCTTGGGCACACATGCACACGCGCCCAGCGTGAGTTTAAGCCACCGGGTCCGGGACTTGAACCGCGGTCAGCTACACGGGAGTCCAGCGACATAGCCATTACACTAACTGCTGGTCTCATTCCTTTTTATGCATTTTGAAGTAATATTACCATGTGTCCCAGAGACATCGTGTTTAATTCCATTTGAAAAAATGATGACTGTCTTCGGTGATCAAAGAGTTTTTTCAAGGACCAGCAGTTAGCATAATGGCTATGTCGCTGAACTCCCATGTAGTCGACCACAGTTCAAGTCCCGGACCCCGCGTCTTAAACTCAA